AGTTCATTGCAGTCCATTGCAAGTTAACACCCCTCCCCACTCAGCATTTCTTCACGAAAGATTTCCCTGACATTTTACCGGTAACAATTTCTACTCCTTGAGGGAGAGAAGCACTTTGCGGGTCAATGTCTTGCTTAAGAACCACGAAACAATAACCCAGCAAGATCCCGAAACCGGGCCTTCCCACCCGGATTTCAAAAAGCTAATCGTCAGCCCACTGCTTTCTCACGAAATGGATCGGTGAACCCCTAAATTGTACCAAAAGAAACCAACCAATACAGAACAAGAACAGGAACCAAAACATAATTGACAACAAGAATTCAAAGCGAGGCAAAAAAAACACAACTTTGTGGATGAACCCTTTAAATTCCGTAGCGAGCTCGTCCGTGTGTTGAGGAATAAAATCCTGACTTACAGTATGATGATCGCTGGTATTCGTTCTGTCGTATGACGGAAGCATTCTGAACTCTCCCGGTGAAACCTGAAAAATAAATAATCAAATCGGAAATCAGAGGTGACAGATCTGAATTAAGAATATTTACCTACAATTAACCTCGCCTGCAATCAAAGAGAGAACCCATCATGCAGCCAATTAATGGGCAAGAAACTCAGAGGTTAGTGTAATTACGAGTTAGATACGAGTGTCCATAGCACAGTAATAAGTTAGCACTAGGGAGAAACAATGAATTGTATGGGTTGAACCATCTCTGCTTTAACAACAGGCGTCCTATGAGCGCTTTTCCTTGTGAACAGCGAACAGCGTTGAAAATTATCGAGGCCACCAGACAACCTCGTTCCCAGGGTCTCTCATCTTCCTGCCCCCCGGGTTTAGGCTGGTCACGTGTCTTCCAGTTTTTAGCAGATTACAATGTAGCGGTTTGAGGGAGGGGCAGATAGTGGGAATTTCTCTCCACTTGCGAGCGTAGCTTTTTGGCAGTCAAAACAAACTATTCACGTGAAGCACTTCGAACTGAATGATGTTAACTGGGAATATTCAGCAGGCGCCCAAAAAGATCGGTAAATCTTCCACTACGGTAAATATCAGTTGTTGCAGGCTTTGTAAATCAGCTGGAGATGCATCTTGCTCGAAGAACATTTATGTAAAAGGAAATCACGCATTGCTCGCTGCTGCTGAGGACATGTGTGGCCAGCCGTTGAGACAAGAAAAATTTTTGCCACATGTATTATTTAGGCCTTGCGAAAGACGCTTCAAAAAATGTATTTCCTTCAAAACGGTGATCAGTGGTAGTCAGAGTTCTTTCGAAAGAGCGAAGCAACGCATAGAAATATCACCATCTGTGCCACGCTCCTTGGCCAAGAGCGCAAGGGAATCTAAGAGAAGAAACCATCGCGGTCTAAATTTCGTTACAGCACCAACACAAATGCAGTCTTTGCCAGGAAAAGAGGTAAACAAGCGTATGTTCGATAGCGTTTTGCCAGGTTTGTTTTTAGTTACGTCTCGACAGTCCCTAATACTTCGTTGCCGCTTCCGAGTTGCGAGTATTGTTCGCTTTCCTTTGTTTACATAATTTAACGTGCCAGTGCTCATTTAATCACAAATGAACCTTCGGCTGCCGGTACTCCTTCTTATTTGATCTTTCGTTCAAAGGCGAAACAACAATAACAACTGGACCAAATGACAAGGAAGGTACAAGCCGTTGACTGTTTAACTTCTCGAAGAAGTGTGAAAGAAGATGAAAAATCAAAGATTTATCGTATCTCGTCGGTAAATCGGTCACAATATCTCTGCCCGAATATATTGCTTCTAAACACTTGCCTTGTTTGGGTTTTAAATTGATGTTACAATACCTACTCCGAGATATAGCGACTTGAAGTTTGCTATAAAACATGGCGATCTGAACAACGATAGCGTCGATTTTAAGATGACAAAGGAAATGAGGCGAAAATCAAGCAACTAAACGACTCGTCCCTGAGGATAATAAAGGAGCGATATGGGCTCGATAGACTGAGTTGGTGAAGGCCCACACAGCTCGCTTATGCAAACTAATAAATTCTATATGACGGTGTGGCACTTTGGGGAATAGAGGCCGTTTAACCATTTTGGCTACTGGTGGTCGCCGTTCCGACATTTTGGCCACAAGTGGCCGTTTTTACATTTTGGCTACTAGTAGCCGATTTAGCATTTTGTCCACAAGTGGCCGTTTTGGAATTATGCCTAATAATGGCCGTGTTAGTATTTTGGCCACTAGTGGCCGTTTTTACAACTTTGCTACTTGTGGGCGTTTGGGCATTTTGGCCACTGGTGGCCATTTTGGTATTTTGGCCACTAGCTAGTGGCCGTTTGGGAATTTTGGCCACTAGTAGCCATTTGGGCATTTTGGCGAGTAGTGACCGTTTTGGCCACACTGAAGAATGCTACGAAAAGTTAATATGAAAAAGCCTAAGCGCCACGTGACACAAGAAGTCATGTTACCTTCTTCCCATAAACTTCAAATTGTGAATACTGTTCCGAAAGGCATTTTGCTCGTGAAGAAAATCCAGCATTTGACGATTTCGACCACCAATTGTTTAAATTGCCATCCTTGTCAATTATCCTTCCTATAAGTAAACCAGAGAGTGTGGAGGCACGCGTTAAAGAGAACTATATTGCTTTGTTACCCTTGAGAAAAGTAAATCTTTTAGTGGATAAGTACTGCAAAACCGTTTACGGGAGGCACTTCGGCACATTCCATTCTGTAATAAACGTGTTCAACTTATGTCTGTGGACGTACCCGCCCTTTTTCTCAATTTCCCGCCGAAAAAACAGCCAGCCATTGGCATTGGCAAAATAGCTTTACCTTAGGTTACACAAAGTGTTTCAAGACTCATTTAAAACAAAAGCACGTACTATAGCATAAAATTCAGTTTAAAGGGAGAGAAAGTCTAAAATAGGGAAGTCCACAATTGGCCATTTTAACAGTTGTGTATTGAATTGCCACGCCTTTGATTTAGAGTGAGGCTGAAGGTGAGCTTGTTGGG